CCCTAACACCAATAATCTCTTCTCAAGTCCCATCTTTTCTCTGTTTTTAGCTTGAATTCGAAACTGCTCTGTTTTGCCTTTGTTCTAGTTTTTTTGCTTGCCTTTCACTCTTTGTTTGATGTTATCTTCATTTTTGCTTAATCCTTTAGATTGTTAGACATCTAAACCATCTATATTTGCTTGAATTAGGATCTTTATTGCACTCTTACTACTTCATTTTCCCCTTTTGGATTGATAAAACCCTATGCTATAGTACAACTGACTATTACAAGCTTGGGTGATTAAATCAAGTTCTAAAAAGTCTTGTATCATTAAGACCGAGTAGTTCGCCAAGGGGTGCGCCAATGTTGTTTGTAAAGAAGAAGGATGGAAGCTTTAAGCTTTGCATTGATTACCGTGGATTGAGCCGAGTTACTGTAAAGAACAAGTATCCACTTCCTAGGATATACGAGTTGTTGGACTAATTCTGGGGAGCTACTTGGTTCTCTAAGATCGATTTGACATCAGGGTACCATCAACTACCCATAGAGGAGACATACGTGCGTAAGACTGCCTTTCAGATAAGGTATGGTCATTATGAGTTTGTGGTCAAGCCGTTTGGTTTAACGAATGCGCCAACTGCGTTCATGAAGCTGATGAATGACGTCTTCAGGGATAACCTAGATGAGTTTGTGATCATTTTTATAGATGATATTCTAGTATAGTCAAAAGAGTGAGAAAGAACATAGAGGCCATTAGAGGACTGTTCTGGAGAAGTTGCGAGAACAGAGGTTATATGCCAAGCTCAGTAAGTGTAGCTTCTGACAAAGGCCTATAAGGATCTTGGGTCACATTGTGTCGGACAAGAGAGTGTCCGTGGAACCAGAGAAAATTCAGGCCATAGCGGATTAACCAAGACCGGAGAACGCTTCAGAGATAAGGAGTTTTAAGGGGTTAGTTGGATACTATAGACAGTTTGTCAAGGGCTTTGCAAGCATGGCTCAGCCAATGACAAAGCTGACTAGGTAAGACGTGGAGTATGTCTGGTCAGCGGACTCTGAAGATTGCTTCTCGAAGTTAAAGGAGTTACTCACTAGTGGAACAGTACTGGCGTTACCAGAACCAGGTGAGCCGTACGTGGTATACATGGATGCATCACGGAAGGGACTAGGGTGTGTCCTGATGCAGGATGGTAATGTGATAGCTTATGCTTCGCGGCAGCTGCGGAAGCATGAAGGGAATTACCCTACGCATGATTTAGAGAAAGCGTTGTTGTGGTATTTGCACTAAAGATATGGAGGTCGTACCTGTATGGAGAGAAGGTACAGACATACACAGACCACAAGAGTTTAAAGTATATCTTTACTCAACTGGATTTGAACTTGAGACAGCGTAGATGGATGGAGTTGGTAGCGGACTATGATTTGGAAATAGCATACCATCCAGGAAAGGCCAACTTGCTCGCAGATGCATTGAGCTGGAGGAGAGCTAACGTATCATCAGAATGGGACGTTGGAAACGTTGTGAACATGTTAAGGACATTGCAGTTGAATGCAATAACAGAAGGGGTGGAACTATTCGGTTTGGAAGTTGCGGATCAAGCTGATTTGTTGACTAGGATTTGGATTGCTGAAGAGCAGGATGAGAATCTGAACAAGATGTCACAGAATAACTAGACTGAGTATCAGACTTCAAACAATGGGAAAATTATTGTGAACGGACGGGTATGTGTTTCTGATGTAAGGAGTTAAAGGATGAGATCCTTAAGGAGGCACATCAGTCAAGGTTTACTGTTCATCTGGGGATGACCAAAATGTACCAGGATCTGAAACAGTACTATCATTGGGTTGGGATGAAGCGGGATGTGGCTAAGTGGGTAGCCGGTTGTTCGACGTGTCAGGTGGTTAAGGCAGAACACCATTTTTCGAGTGGTTTGTTGCAAACATTACGAACGCCAGAATGGAAATAGGACATGATCACCATAGACTTTGTACTGGGTTTACTGAAGTCTAAGAAGCAGCATGACAGAGTATGAATCATTGTGGATCGATTGACCAAGTCTGCTCACTTCTTACCGATGAAAAAGACAGATGGAGTACCAAAGTTGGTGGATATATACATTGATCAGATTGTGAGGTTGCATGGAGTGCCAGTAAGCATTATCTCAGATCGTTATCCAATGTTTACTTCGCTGTTTTGGAAAGATTTCCGGGAAGCATGCGGAATAAGTTTGCATATGAGTACATCATATCACCCATTGACTGATAGACAGTCAGAACGGACAATTAGAACTTTGGAGGATATGCTGAGGGTATGCGTTTTGGACTAGGGTGGTAACTGGGAAGATTACTTATCATTGGCAGAATTCGCATACAACAATAGTTACCATAGGAGCATTGAGATGTCTCCATATGAGGCGTTGTATGGCAGGCCGTGTAGGACACCCTTGTGTTGGACATAAGTGGGGGAGCGTAGCATGATGGAGCCAGCAGTGGTCGAGGCTACTACAGAAAAGATCCGGTTTCTAAAGGTTAAGTTGAAAGAGGCAATGGACAAGCAGAAAAGACATGCGGACAAGCATCACAAGGACTTGGAATTCAGTGTAAGAGACATGGTCTACCTAAAGGCACTAGCGCATATGGGGACGGATGGAGCATCTAAGTACGCTAAGCTGAGTCCGAGGTACATGGGACCGTACCGGATACTGGAATGAGTTGGCGCAGTGGCATACAAACTGGACTTGCCATTGGAAATGGGAGCGTTCCATAATGTATTCTATGTGTTGCAGCTCAAAAAGCATATAAACAAACGTGAGAAGGTTATAAAGGAACCGCCTGCAGACTTGCAAGAGGACCTTGCAGTGGTGGCTAGGCCGGTTCGTGCCATAGGCAGGAAAGAAAAGACTAAGTGAAGAAAGCTAGTCAGGATGGTCCAAGTCGTATGGGATTGCAACGGATATGAACAGGTTTCATGGGAAGAGGACGCTAGGATGAAAGCCGGCTTTCCCAAGGGGTTTGATAAGCTACAAACGGAAGAGCCGGGTTCAAGGGCTAATCCAAATCGGGTGGGGGAGAGTGGTAGCATCTGTATCCGAGAAAACTAAAATGATTGAGGCTGACAGGACGTTGTTCGAGGGATGATCGAGCCAAGGTTCGGATATTGGCTGGGGAATGGGAGGTTTAGAATATGGTCGGGTGATATCTGGGAAATAGTCGAGGGATGGCTGGGAATAGCCGAGACAGATGGACCATATCCGAGAGAAAAATGGTTTAGTCCGAGTGAGAGTGGTCTGTGTCCGGAGAAAAGGAAAAGTATTTGAGAGAAAATGGAAAATAGCCTAGGGAAATAAGTTTAGTCCAAGATAATCTGGGCTGGGACGTGGGCCATGTAAGTAGGTCGGCTAAAATGTAGTTTATCGTGCGGATGGTATAGCCGGTACGGGTTATAGCCGAGAGAAATCAAATCGGATCGGGATAAATCCTACTGAAACCAGGAAACGTCAGTTAAGTCCGATTTACTCAGGGTTTTGCGAGTATATAAGGCGTTTTTGAGACTTATCTGGAGAGAGTTGCATTATTTGAGAGAAATAATGCAAGAGAGAGAGATTAGTCAAGAGAAAACTCTAGAAAAGTCAGTTTATCCCGAGAGTAACCGAGAGAGATTAAGCTAACGATGTACGGATCCGACCATCGCCAAGATAAACTAGTAAGCTATCGGATATTTCCCTTAGTTTCAAGTTTCCATCGGATAACATCAGCTTAATCGGTGTGTTTTGTGGGGTTTTTAAGGGAATACAAAGTTTGACTCGAAGGAAAGTGAATGGATCGAGGTATAACCAAGAGGAGGAGAGATCGGATCGTAGTGATAGCCGAGAAATCCCTAGGGTGTTCAGATATCTTCGTTTCCACGCGATTTTCACAAAGATTTCGTCCGACCAATCTGTTTCCAACCTTGTTTAAGGTGAGTGCGTGACTGTGGTTAGTATCTAGGATCATTGGATTGCTAGGGTTTGATGTGGTGCATGTTTGATTGTGTGATTTTCATGTTGTGTGCTTAGCAATTGATAAACGATTATATGTTATGATATTTTGAGGTGTTTACCATGGCATAGATGATGTCTAACTAACCTCAGGGTAATCTGGATCATGTGCTAGCTTAGGGGATGTGGGATTTTCGCTGAAGTAGACATGGGTCTTAAAAAAGGATTGATTATGAGTTAGGGTAGATGATCATGGCCATTTGATATGTTATACGTTTATTGCCAATTGGTTGTATGGATGTTGAATCTGATAGTATGAATGCGTGAATGATACTGGCTAAGGTGTTACAGGATGACCATACTCACTATGTATGTATGGCAATATGTATGCCTCTCTTGTTTGAGTGTGCAGGATCTAAGCAGTAAGTAGAGCAAGACCGACGGCAGTGATGGACATGGAAAGATCAGGGATTGGGTGTTTTATGTTACAAGACTTGTGTTTTAGGTCTTATGGGCTTTGGTGTTAATCGTTAGGTTGCTAGATGATCTGTTGTATTCATTCGCAAACCTTGTGCTTTGTTTTAAGTGAACCCCGAATCTTGTTTAAGTATTTTTATTCAAGTTATAATGGAATGAAATGGTTTGTTTGAATCCGCTGTGTACTGATAATTGCAAAGAAAAGTTTAAAAATTTGCCTAAGTATAGAAACAGAATGTTAGGATGTAGTGAAGGCAAGACTGCGGTTTAGTTAGCCGGGTCGGTCTCCACATGACCACTCTGCTGGAGCTTTGGTCAACAGAACCAGCCCGTAAAATGAGCAAGTCAGCGGCTGAGTCTTGCAAATCAAACCCTCATAAAAAAGGGATGCAGGCATTCCTCGAGGGGAGGTGTGGTTAGCTTCCGAGTAGTACGGGTTCTTCCACAGGTCCTCGAAATATTTTAAAAATCGAATATGATATGGTAAATGAACATATTTGTCTCCCTTTTTTAATCTTTAATATGTTATACTTTCTACTTATTTGTATATCTCTATGTTTTCCAGATGGTGGAGTCTGGTCTTTATAAACCATCACTTTAATCAATCTCGTGCGGAAGACACACAAGCGATCAGATGGAAATGGTCGATCTGAGACTCTTGTCCATGAAGTAGAGAAAGTTGTAGCACAGATGACAGCTGCTGATGGATCTCCCATTTCTTCCAGCCAAACCACCTCAACAGCTGCAACTCCTTCTCGCATTCTCCTCAACCAAGAATTTCTCAAAGTACTCGAAAATAACTCACTCATTCCTTTAGTCTCTGTTTGTCGATAGTTAGGGATATGGTTTTGGGTTTGTGTAAACTTGTTTCGACTTATTGCCATTTACTTGAGTTGTGTATGTATCTTATATGGATTTGTGTGTGAGAATAAGAATTTGAGTTGCTATTTTTGTTGTGTTTAGTAATGCATTTTTGGATTCTGTTATCTCTGATTTTGTCTATTTTATTCTTTTTACAATGCAGTAGACAAGCCGTGGGAGAGTATACGGAATATGCAGTGTGCAGCTACGGGATTTCAATCCGACCGAGTCAGTCCATGAATCTCTTTCACACAGCATGGACATGGACATGTGTATCTCTAGTTTGGAGGTTCATTCGGAAGCTCTCAAGTCAAACATTACCGAACTTAAACAAGATGTGGTGGCGATGAAGGGTGAGTTGAAGGAAGAGTTAGCCACGGTCAAGGATGAAATGGTGTCCATATTATATGCATTCCTACAAAAGCTTGGAACCACTCTTCCTGCTGCTGCTGCCCGTACACATTCTCATGCTGCTGCTGCAGCTACTGCCCGTACAGTTTCTCCTCTTCCTGCTGATGCCTCTACACATTCTACTCCTCCTGCTAAGACCATAAACCCGACTCAAGAACAATCCACACTAGATAAGTTGTGTGATGCTTTATTAGGAGAGTAATTTTTTTTCTGTCCTAATTAAATTTATTAAAGCTTGAGCTTTGAATGTTTAGATGCTGGAAATCTTTTCATTTGTGATATTTGAGGGATCGGCTCAACCACATGAAGCGTGTCATTACGCATCAGATGAACACAATCATATGATGAAGCTTTTGAAGTAAAAGAATGGAAAAATGCCATGAAAGAAAAAATCGAAATGATAGAGAAGAACAAGACATGGCTACTTCTGGACAAACCGAAAAAGAACATTATTAGTGTGAGGTGGATATATTGTATCAAGATGGATGCGAATGGAAATCCGACCAAGTAAAAAGTCAGGTTAGTCACAAGAGGATTCTCTCAAGATTATGGTGTAGATTATCTTGAAACAGTTGCACCAATGCCAAGACATGAGACGATTCGAACCATTCTTGCCTTTGCCGCACAAATGAAGTGGAATCTTTATCAAATGAATGTAAAGTCGGCATTCCTCAATGGCGAGCTTGAAGAAAAGATCTATGTTGCTCAACCACCCGGATTTATAGTCGAAGGTAAATACAGACAAAGTTCTTAGGCTGAAAAAGCATTGTACGGCTAAAGCAAGCCCCTCCGGCTTGGTACGGGAGAATTGATTCATAATTTCTCCAATATGGATTTGAAAGGAGCATGAATGATGCGGCTATGTACGTGATGGAGAAAGACATAGATCTTTTGATTGGGAGTCTATACGTAGACGACATAATAATCACTGGGAACAATTCTCAATTCTCAACTCATTGACAAGTTCAAGCTAGACATTAAAAAGGAGTTTGAGATGACAGATTGTGCTGAATTATTTTCTTAGAATAAAAATAATTCAAGATGATCGTGAAATTTTTCTTTCACAAGAAAAATATGCTTGCAAACTTATTGAAAAGTTTCGTATGAAGGATTGTAAGAGTGTACGTACACCACTTACACCACACGGAAAATATGTTGAAGATAATGGAGAACACGGTGAACCGATAAAGTATTGATGTCTTGTTGGTGGTTTGTTGTACTTATGTGCATCATGATTTGATGTTTGCAAGAGTCACAAGAAGGAATAGACACAACCTTTCACTTTCGTGTCTATTTTTTTCTATATAAGTCGTTGTTGTTGTTTTATTCTAAAACTCAAGTTGTTTTACAGATTTTATTTTATAAATAAAGTTCTATATTTCTTTGCACTTAAAAAAGAGTATACTCTCTTCTACTCTAATTTGGAACATAAGTTTTGAACAAAACACACCAACGACATGGGAGGACAAACGAGCAAGAAGAGCTGATCTCATAGAGGAGTTCAAGAAAAGTCCAATTTCTTAAATAATCTAATATATAACAAATAAATAGGGGACTCTCCATCGTTAATACGCCAGGTCTCCCTTATTGTTACAGTGTTTGATAATTGACATGGTTTGATAATTAAAAATCATTTGATTTGAGTTTGAAAACGTGAGAACTCTAAAATCTCGGAAACTGTATTTTGATTCATGATTTGCATACCACATTAGACATAACCTACAATAAAGACATTCTCACCATAGTCAAGTGCTCTAATCACCGATCCTTCATATCAACCCCAAATTTATAGGTGTTATGTATTCAACTCTGTAGCTCTATTTATTCATGATAGTGTTTGGTAAGCTTTCCTCATATCGAAATGTAAGACACAAAATATGACACTAGGTATCAAAAGTTTTTCTAGTGGTGAGGTTGATAAAGGATATAAGTGTTTAAGTGTTGAAGTGTTATTTTCTCCACCGGATTCGAGTTAATATATAAAACAGAAAGAGAGAATAGACTTATTGATATCTACAGTTTCTAACCACTTTTTTTTGCGCCTATCTTCCCTTAGATTAAGATTCTTCAAGGAATCTCTGTGAAAAGTATGTCTATCTTCCTCGTTGATCCATGGCCTTTCATAAGACTTGTGACTGCAGTGCTGTTCTTTTAAATGTAAACTGTTTCTTTTCCCCTTGTTTATTCTCATATTTGATCATTTTCTTTTAGAATATCAACCATCATCATTTTGACAACTCATGTGTTTGATATTCTTTATCTTTTTATTTTTCGAAAAGGTAAACAGATTTTAGGACTTAGAATCTCATTGACACTGAATTATACCTTGTTGGTATATCTCAACGAAATGTGAGCTCTGGAACCTACCAATACCCAACCAAATTGTGTTTCCAAGTTCAGTGGCTGGAAAACCTGTATCATTTATTTCTCTCCGACGTTTTTGTACATAAATGCATTTAATATCATAAATCAAATCGAGTATGTAAGGAGTTTGAAAAAAGATAAGGTAAATGGTAGGATAGCAACTAAAAATGGATTAGCCTTTCAGGATCATCACAGAATGGCAAAATGAATAAGAAGTCATGCATGTATAATTCATTTCCAAATTTAAAACACTTCTAGTGAGAAAAGATTTAATAATCTGGTTACAGTCTAATAGGTCAAAGTTATCATATTATCTGGTAGGTAATCACTATGAACCGAAGTTCCCATGAGACTTCGAGTCACATAATTTCATGATATTAAACACTATAAGAAAATCATGAAAAAAAATGTCAATGGGAACATTAATCATAGCACATGTGGTATAAGAATTTATCCTAGGACTTCATCATAATTCACCATTAAATGTTATAGAACTTAAAGCACAACAGTAAACAACATTCGCTGCAAAGATTATCTATGCCTAAACCTTAAAATTTCAAATTCTTTTGCAAAATCAAATAATTCAGACAAGCATTAAAATTCATGTTCGATTGTCTACAAAATTTCTAGAGAACGTGGGTGCTCACTGGTAGAGGCGGTCGAGACGTTAAAACATATAAAATATTTTAGTTGATATAGAAACCCTTTAATACAGTTAATATAGTATTCGTGATATCGGTAATTATAAGTTAATCTTTCATTTGTTCTAAAAAACCAGGAAGCAAAATTCTTCCTCGTGATGTCTCATTTCTAAAATCAGATATTCAATTATCTGCATTTATTTATTATGGAAATTTAGTTTTTCACTGCTTATTTCATCTAAATCATCTATACAAGCATTTAAAATCATCTATTCATTTCTCATTGTCTTTGTTCAGGAATCATCTCTCTATTATGAAACATCTAATTTTTTCTTCATGATGAAAATTTTCTGAATCATATAAATTCAGCAAACATATCATTTCACGGATATTATGTTTTAAATAATCTTTTGTAAAACTTTCTATCAAATCGAATGATTAAAATCTCTACTCTTCTGATGCCGGCGATATTGCTACAGCTATCAGAAATAGATCGACACTTCAGTCAACAGCGATCCGAAGTGGATTAGAGATAGCTCAAGATGGATTGGCGACGCCAACAACACAGTCAAAGGCGTCGGCGATGCAGCATAATTCAAAAAAAAATAGACTAATTAATTCAAACTCACAGGCTATTTAAATATAGAGATTGTTTTAGCATGTCTAATATTTATGGAACCGAAACTCATTTACATATCAATCTAAGACATTTCTCATGAAAAAATACTATCAAATAAAACTATATTTTTTTAATCAAAAAGTAAAACAAAATCCCTTTATATTATTCGCTGGAAAAGAAAATACAATAACCTTTTATAATATTAATTCATTTTTCATCTCTTTTATAATATTAATTCATTAAAATAATTTTAGAATAAAGTTATAATATTCTGAAATGCAATTAGATATCTCTCTAATATATTATTTCATTTCTCATTTCAAATGAATATTTTAAGAATATTATTTTTATTTTATTATTAATTATTAATTATACACATTTTTAAAAATATACAAATTGACCCATTACTTTTTAATTTTAGTACTTTTATCCATCATATTTATCAATCTAGCCCATCAAGGTTTTCTGTTTTCACAATTCAGGTCGTTGCATTTTATTTATGTTAGTTAGACCCCATATGTTTAAGGGATAATTTTTAAATAACCGAGTTGACAAATTTTATTACAAAACAAAACCCTTCCAAAAGAGAGGTCCACTAGTTCCATCGATACTTGGGTTAAGTTTCTGCTTGAAAAGAGAAGGATTTACATGTGGAAGACAAAGAAAAGAGAAGGATTTGAATTACATTTCTCGGCCGGCGAGAGCTTCCTCCGATGGGTCTTTCCATTCGTCGACCCTAGAAGCCAACAACACAGAATCATTTGTAAATTTTCACTAAAACTGGAGAAAGCACTGATAAAGATAGATAATTTTTACACCTAGCCGTAACGGCGGTCAAAGAGAAGGCGTCTGGAGGAACGTTTTACTGCGGTGGCCGGCGGTACAGCCGATAGATAGAGAGATAGTAGAAAGAGAGAGTGAGATATGAGTAGGAAGGGTCAGAGATTAAGATGTCAGGCCCAATTAGAACCGATGCCGGGTCGGGCCTGGATATTGTAAAAGTTATCCACCAATTTGCAGCGGTCTTCGCGGATCTTGGGCCCAATTATGTTTTAGAATTCGTTTTTATAACTCAAAATTATGTCATTAGTTTGCCAGTAATTTGCAATTAGTCTACCATTAGTCTGTCAGTAGCCTACATTCAATTAGTTGACCAATCAGTCTGCCAGTAGTCTGCATTCAGTCTCCCGTTAGTCTGCCATTAGTCTACAAATAACAGTAGTTACAAAAATAGCGCTAGTATTTATAAAAATCGTAAAAATGGTTATTTTTAAAAATTTCCCTTAATAGAGTATCTATTTCACATAATTTTATCATTTTAGGTCATTTTGAAGCATTTCC